GGGGGGGGTTGTAAGTGAGAAAATAATATTTAACGAATGATTGAGAGAGAATACAAATATAATAGTGTTTCCTAATTAACGAATTTTCTAAATATCTACACACCAAGGATTATATTATTATTATAGAGCAGACAACGAATATTCAATGAAAAATTCAATTCATTTATTGTTTAAAAATCAAGAAGGAGTTAAACACCCATGATATCATATTGTAGTAAATGCTCAAGTTATTATCAATCCAGATACAACACTAACTATATTCTAACTCCTCAAACTGTATCCTCTCTACCTATACAAGTATATTCTATCCGTAAATAACAAGGTAAATATTTCTTTCTAATTTATGCAAAAATTACCTTGACACAGTTCTTGGCAGACATTTATTTCCATTGAAAATGATTGTTTAGTAAATCTATCTGATCTAAGTAAAATGTTAGTTAAGAAACAAATGAAATATTTTGATGTCCGTTTGGACCGTGCATGTGGAAAGTTCCGATTTTACAAAAACTATTAAATACAAGAATGAATAATTTATATGTTAAAGGATTCGATGATTTCGTAATAACTGAAATGATAAATATGTTATATAATGAGTAATGATCAATATCGCCTATTTATGCATAATTTTACATATTTGTTTTTCTTTTGTAAAACTATATATTCAAAACATCTAATAAATTTCAACTAAACCATTTATATATGTATGTATCTTAGCATTAATAAATCTTTATAATAATAAGAAAATTATACCAACATCACTATCTATAACTATGACCTGGAAAATGGCAAAATCAATGTCTCAATATCTAAGAGAGAGAAATATGAATGGAAATGTTTAGTAAGTTTGAAATGCTTTAAAATTGTATTAGATAAAAGTTTATTTTAATAAGGACCATGTCAAATTTTTATATTTATTAGAGGATACGCTAAAACAAACCATATCAATCATCTGTACATATATATAACATTTGAAGACTAAAATCATTGAAAGGAAAAGAGACGTACAGCGCCAAA